TTTCACGATCGTCGGTCGAAAAAGGAGAAGCGCGAGTCTTCCGCGCGCGCACCTGCCGTGTTGCGGCACCGTAAGAAGGCTCCTTCGCCGGAGAAAATACAGCGGGAACACACGGGATACGGACGAAACTTCTTATTCGCTCGAGTCTCCCGAGAGAGAGTCCGTCCGAGAACTGTGCGCATGTAAATGCGCGACGCAAGTCTTGGAGAGGTGATATTTCGAGGTCCGCTGACGTTGGGCCCCGGGGACCGACGGCCATTGTATCCGCGTTCGCTCGCTGGCGCTCGCTCGCGCGCGCCCCCTGCTCATTAAATATTAACGAGAGTCTCAATTTCTTCATTTCGTTGATGAGTCGCCGCGCGCCATCCGAGAGAACCCGCATATAGATTGAAAATTAACTTATATGAGCGCCGACAAAATATATACGGCATGCGGTGCACTTATACGACTCAAGAGGCCTACAATTTACACGAGAGCTCGCTATGTTGGTATAACCCCTAAGTAGAACCCTCGTCCACCCCCCCCCCGCCCCTCCTCACGTCGTACTTCTTCCCTTCTTCTCCCCCCCCCCCCCCCCGCCCCTCCTCACGTCGTACTTCTTCCCTTCTTCTACTTCTTCTCTTCTTTCGTCGTCGTCTTCTTCTTCCTCGTCGTCGCCGCGTATCTTCCTTTCGGCTTATCCGCTTCTGACCCAAACGTGAAATCCTTAAATACCTAATTTGATGCTAATTACAACTTGCACTTGCGCCTCACGAGAGACCGCTAACGCGTGTTCGCGTGTGGTAAGGTTAATAATGTGCGTGAGACGGTGGTATATGAATATATGATAGATGATGAAACGTTTCGTCGGTAAAGCATTACGTTGAATCTTCGAACTTGAAGGTGTGTTAGTATACCTTCAAAGCATTCGATTTTCAACATATCGAGATTTCGCAGACTTTCGATGTTTACTTATATGTTTGGCTGAATTCGAAAATCGCAGTTGACTTTTGCGATTTAAAAAATTTTCCATTTTTATGATTATAATTTTATAATTATTAAAATTATTTTTTAACTATTTGAATTTTTGGAAATTTATTAAAAAGTCACAAGAAGTTATCCAAATCATCCAAGGATTTAAACTTTTAACCTATACTTGCAAATTTTTCATCAATTTGTAAATATAAATGCAGATCAGCAAGATTTCGGTAACATTAATAAAACCTATATTTTATGTTTTTTTTGTCTGATATTCAAAAAGTTATAGCATGTGATTACTGTGTATAGTCAAATGAACTTATTTTTAAAAATCTAAAATAACGAGCTCTTTCCGTACATTTTATATAAATACATCAAATAAATTTTGTTATGTGTGTGAATTTTATTTCAAAAAATTACAGAGTAAATTGTATACAAATCTTTAAAGAAAACTTATAGCTCATATTTCGATTATCAAGTTAGAAATCAGGATTAAAGGGTTGAGTTTTTTATGTGTTATATGAATATACTGTTGTGTATCTCTTTTCACATAGTTAAAAGGAAAGAAAGTTTTAAATTCATCTCGCAGTATAAAAATAATAGAGAAAAAATAAATAAAATTTTTATTAAAAATGATATCCTGGTAAATATTTCAATGACAAAAGCATGCTACAGAGTTTTTTTTACATATTTGTATTCAGTAAGCAAAAACGATTAAAGACCATCTTATCTATTCACGTCTCAACATACTAATTGGTTGAAGATTTGGACATACCCGTATGTGTGTGTAAAATGTGTAAAATTAATTCGCGAAAGATTTAATTTGACTATTGTGCTTCATTAAAAATCAAAGCGCATGTCTTATCTATTGTGCGCTAATTGGAGCACGAACTTACCTCTTTTTCGTGCAATCCATACTTAGGAGAAGGTACATCAAATTAAAGAAGGGAGCAAGACATCTGAGTCAAGACGTACGTAACCATTTATTATACGATAATAGTTGCACTCGAATGTAGCACATTAATTTGTCTACAGACTTGGAAATAATTGCTTCGCTCTTTAACATGTACGCTTAATGATCGCTATGCTACACATATCTAATGTGCGACCTATCGATTTTCCCTGCCGAGCATTACGTGACGAGATACGTCGTGAAAGATGCCCGTAAAGTGTTTGGACTCACTTTATTTCAAAGGATGAAATAAAGAAAATAAATATAGCATAAGTTTAGAAGTAGGAAAAAATAGGTGAGAGAGAGATGTTTCTTCTGTGGAATGTTATTAATTCTTACAAAAGTTTCTAGATATTATTAACCCTTTGTGGACGAGCGATTCCATTTCAGATCATACCTTTCTATTATATGTATTTATATTTTTTAAATTATTAATTAGATTTTTATATAAGAAACTTGGCCTATGAGGTAATTTGATAATGTTTTATTCAAATATGAAGTTAAAAACAAAAATATTTTAAATGTAAATTTAATATGGTAGACAAAATTACAAAAAATAATCTGATTAAAATTCAATTTTAGAAAATTTTTAACTGCAAAGTAATATCAAGTTCTTAGTTTTGCTTTCTTTTTCGTCCATTAGTATTATATAAACAGTAGTATTGATTTCCGAACTGATTTTCACATTCTGATTATGAGCTCTGTGACAATAGACACTTTTTTTCATTAGAAGTTACTTATTAGTGTTTACCCTTCCAAAATTTGATATTTTCAGACTACATTCAAACTCAGTGATAGCAAAAACTTCCTAAAATCTTTTCCAAAATAATCAGATTATTCTTTTAAAATTGAATTTTAGAATTCTCAAACCAGATAGAATACAGCTTGGAAAATAAGATCTTGAAAACAACTCCCATCCTCAGAGGGTTAAATTTCCTATTAAATTAATGTTTAGATATTAGCCAATTAAATTTGCTACGTGCACTAATATACTCCAAATTTTCGTAAAACCTTGCTGTTAGCCCTTCAAATACAGTTTTAAATTAATAATAAAAATATAAACAAAAAATATAAAGAAATGTTTATCAAAAAAAGAGTGAACATAATTAATCAATGTTAATCAACATACAAATGTCGCAAAAAAAGTCGACAATAGTTAACTAAAATAATATCACATTTTAAATTTCGCGTACTTTATTATCGAAAGAAGTATATTCAAGTGAAAAAAAATGAGAAGAAATAATTAAATGAGTAGGCCCTATGATGATGCGCTCGAAAGGATCGAATTGATCAAGTTTCGCAAACTCCAGACAATCTAATCTTCATTACGCAACAACACGTGGGTGAGATTGCGTTATTTGCGTCAAACTTGCGTCAAAACACGTGTATATGTGTGCCTCGTACTGCTCGAATTCAAAGATGACCATTTGAAAGGGAAACGTGAATACAAGAACGCATAATGTGAAAGGCTTCATCAAGGCGAAATCTCTCATCCTCCGAATGACACGCGATGATCCGGACCGCGGTTTGCAAAAATATATTACGTCCTTTGAATTCCAGCAGCTTGTTAAAAAATTTTTTCTTAGCTAAGTTTTTTGGCACGAGCAGAGGAACGCCGTTTTTTCTTTTTTTCTTTTTTAAGAAAAACTTTCATACGTTTACGCCGCTAATATAAAATTCATAGACGCTCGCCTAAATTTTTATCAAGCTTCGCATTATTTTGTTTGTGAGATTTAATTCCGCCTTGCAATTTCTATCTTCAACTACTAGAAATCAACAACTATAAATTCGTAAAATTATCTTCTTTGTTACTGGACATTTAATTAAAAAATTTATTGCGTTAATATATTGGCAATTTTTATAAATTATGATCATCTGATTATAAGTTCAATTAATAGATATTTAATATAACTGATTAACTTTGATCACAATTGATAACAGCGCGAAGCCGATAAAAGTTAGTCGCACGCCAAGTCGCGTATAAAATCAATGAGAGGACAAATAAAATAATTTTCCTACATGATTGCACATGTAATGTATGTGTCCATCCGCATGGGCGAGTTTTCATGTAATTTAGCATAGACTTTGCGACACCGTATAGAATGTTCTAAATAGTTGTATACAAGGTTTTAACTATAAATGACGTTGATATATCATAAAATACATAATTTAGATAAAATCTAAAAATTCACGCGATTTTCTCAAAGTAGAAATTTTCAAATATCATTCAGAAATATTGACAAATCGTTAAACACATTCAAATGTAACTAACTTAGAAATGTCTAATAATATTAAAATTTGTTTAGATTGTATTTACATACAAAATTTTAATTTTAGTTACAAATAGAAAATTAAAATTACACATTCACTCTTGTATCAAAAGTTTATTACAGAGGAATTTTTCCAATTTTTTTAGACACGTATTTGCCATATACCTGGTATACATCTTTCTGGAACACCCCATATGTCGAACAATGCCTGAAACTCCATCGTTAATTATCGATATAATCGCTAATGGTATCCTCTTTGCATACGTACCTAGATTACATTATTACTATTCTCATCTAGTAATCTTTGGTAATTCGGATGTGCATGGAACTATTATTATTATCACTGATTATTTAACCATAATCATCCTCGAAGTTACTCGCTAAATTCTACCTGATTAGGCTGCCTTCGGAAAAATCCTCCGACGAGTCACTTCCTTCATTAAGTCCGACGACACAATTTTGTCCAAATTTTGAAGAAGGCCAGGCATTTAATCTTGATCGATATCACGTAACCAAAATTTGTCTTCTGTGCGAGATTAAACTACATCGGCTTCCGTGAGATTTAAGTAATCGTTCTTAAAATTAACACGGCAAGGATCACATTCTAGAAAGAAAACCAGACTTAGACAATCGCTGCCTGTACGATATGTTAGCAACGTCAGCGTTCATCAGCGAGATTTCTCGCTGAGATCCACGATGGACGCATGTCATCGACTTGTCAAGTTCCTCCCCGGGGTCGATTCACGAGAAAGAGCGATAATCCCTCATCCAAGATGGCTGGAGAGACTACTGTAAGCATCCTCCTCCATTTCAAGCCGTCGTCAGTAGAGATCGGAAAAGGAGACCTGAGAGGAGACGCCTGAATGCAGATGATGAAGGGCGTGTAACTCCTCCATCGAGGTCGAGGGCATGCTGTTGCTGTCGCCGAGTATGCTGGCTGCCGGTCCGACGGTTGGAGAATTGCCGGTGCTGGAGGATACCGCCGTTCCGGAACAACCGACGTTGCTACCGGCGTTGCTACTGTCCTGCCGCATCAAGTTCCGTCGCCATTTCGCACGCGCGTTTTGAAACCACACCTGAATAGACGCAAAATCAAGGAACACGCATAATTTCAACTTTTTAACAGATTCTTTAACATCGATCGATAATTGAGGTAGTACCAAGTCGTTCCAAGAATTTAAAACAAAAAAAAACATAAACAATATGTTTGGGGAAATATACTATAAAAAATATGAGTGTAGATTGAACATTATGTGATGTTTAATAACTCTCACCGTGTTGGTCTTGAAATACCATAGATGTAGACACAATAGTTTACAGTGAATAGTTAAAAAATATGGATGTGGATTTAACATTATGCGTAAATATAATTCTTACAGTGTTGGTGATGACATAAATACATTTTGTATTAATCCACTATGTGTATTGCGGTGTTTATATTGTCACCAGGATGAGAGTTATATTTAAGGTGTTAACACGGTTAAAAATCCACACTCATATTTTTTAAGATGCAGAAGTTGACGTAGATTAGTTATGCGTATACGCTCTTGCGAGTAAAGAAAAATAAAAAAGCGATATCATCAATAATAATCTCCTCATAAACACTCTATATACAAAGAGAAGAGCTCGTACCTGCAGCACCCTTTTCGATAGGCCGGTCTTCTGCGCGAGTTGCTTGAGGTCCTTAGCGTCCGGATTTTGATTTACCGCGAAGTAATTCTTCATAGTTCGCAATTGATGGTGTTTGAAACTGGTACGCATACGCTTCGTCCGCTGATTTTGGTGCACCGGTCCCGGGGAGCCCACGGATGCGTCGTACGCAGCCAGCGACTCCATCGACGAGGACAGCTCCGTGGGATGCAGCAGTTCTGCAATGGCGACGTCCGCTAGAAAGTTTCTCTTTTCTTTCCCTTTTCAGTTTCGCGTCCAACTATCGGCGTGACACGCGAGCGACATGCGATAGAGGGGAAAAATCACACGGGTATCGCATTCCACTTTAAGCCTATCAAATTGTTTTATTCGTGCATATATGAGAAGAGCTCCAGAATCGAGAAAATGTCTAAAACCTGGAAATATTGGATGCGCGCAAGTTGAAAGAAATAGCAAAACTCTGAAGAATTTAAAAAACTTTAGGTTTCTTAAAAATATCAAGAAAATTCACATCGAATTCGTTAAAATTTGCAAGATACCCTCTTTCGTTCAAGAATTGTACTATATATAAATTAAAAAATCAAGACAACTGATACTTTGTTTCTACGTCATTCTGCAGTCTTCTTTAATTCATGAGTCATCCGTGCAGATCGAACGGTATAACTTCAAAAGGATTTTAGCTCCGTGAGAGAAGTCGACCCCTTTTCGTCGCGCTACTGTCCCTTCCGATCTCGCAAACGTAACTGTGCTTTGCGAATTATCTCTAAAAAAAAAAAAATAAAAAAAAGTGAAATCCGTGTGTCGTTCGTCTCGATGAGAAAACGAATTCCGAAGGCGCCGTGAGGCCACATTCGCGAAAACGGTTTTTCTCCCTTTCCCCGCTCTTCTCACTCTTTCTGTCTGGTTCTTTCTCTTCCTCTCGTTGGCGAACCAGCAGATCGCCGTCCGTTGGGAATGGAAGTTCGGAACAATAAACAGTAATAGCGCATACGTGCTCGGGGATTTACTTCTGGGATCCCCCTTCACCCTCCCCCTCGCCCCGCGTGGCCGCTTCGTCGACTGGAACCCGTTCTTCTCTCGATTGAATTCAATGGTTACCCTCGTCGTCTTATTTATTGGATGCGTTCCTTCGCTCTGCCGCGGCGCGCAACAACTGCAACTGCGCACACAACTGCAGCACGCCTGTCCTCTTTCCGGTGAGTCTCTTTCTCCCTTTCCTTTATTTTCCTTATTTTCGTTCATCATAATTCAGTTAAATCCGTACGTGGCGACATGACCGCTAATCGATCAATTAATACGCTTCTTCGTTTAGGAAATGCTGTAGGAAGTTCCTTTGCGTTTGCGGTCAATTATTTCTCTCGTAAAATGAGTGAGTAATAGGGAGAAGCTCTACTCTACCATGAAAAATCTAAATATACACAGCTTTCTCATTTTACATTTACGAAAAGCACAATTAAACACGAAAAAAGTAAAGACCAGTTCCGGCGAGACTTTACACGCGAATCGAATCGAAATTAGGACTTTCCCAGCGTGCCTTTCGATTCCGGCGGGGCCTTTCTGTCTGTGCAGAAAGAGGAACGGCTCCAGGCACCGGCGGACAGTGACAGATAGGTATCGGCACTGGGAGATGCATCGATTGGCCGATCTGCCCGGAAAAGAATGCTGCCGTGGCCAATGCGTGGCCACTGCCAGCAGAATGGCCGGCCAGAACGCTATAATGCCGCCTGCGCAAGTTTCTTGCCGCGCCGCCGGCATCGGAATCCTTCGTTCGTTCTGTCGTCGATTCTCAGTCCTCGCTCTCGGCAATTTTAGCCTTCTAACTCGTCCTGACAAATTGTAATCTCATTCTTAAAACCGCCAAATCCACCCTCCCACCCTGGTCCCGCCAAGCCGCTCGGAAGAGAGAAGCTTCCCAGGGCTCGCGTGTGTTCCTCCCTCGCAAGAAAGGGCAATATCTTTTCCAAGATGGACTGGTAGAAAAAGTATGACAAGGAATAAGCCACCATATTTTTGCTGTAAGCCATCCTTAGATGACAATAGTTGCAATATACGATTTATGTATCGATTTTTAAAAGTATCAGTTATATTATAAGAGCCGGTTACTCCACCTTCGGATAATCTATATATTAATAATTTATCTATTACAGATAAACAAAATAGTAAAAGCACATAAGAGAGTACGAGAGTAGGACAGTGAGCTGAAGTTTACCAAAAGATAGAATAACTCAGCCTTAATGTTATCAAATCGGATTGAACCTGATAAATATGTATATTTAAACTACTATATTCAACAAGAGTATATACTTTTTTTTAGTATATACTTTTTTTCCTCTCCCCAGGATTTATCTTTATACAATAAAAGAGAATAAAAGAAAGGAATAAAAAGGTTTGAATCCTTCTACGCAAAGAAAAAGATATAATGATAGCAACTGTAAAGTGACATCTATATAAGTTTTAATATACATAGTTGAATAAATCAATGTATAATAATTGCAACTATAAAATTGTTTATTCAATTATGGTATACTTTATAGATGCTGCTGCTGTGTTTTTCTCCGAGGATAGATCGAACCGCTTTGATAACTGTAATTTTCCGTTTAGCGTAATCTAATACGTCAGCTGGTATAGTGTCAAGCATTAGATGCGGTATGTTTCGCTTAGGAATAGCCGGATTATCGTCTTCTTGCTTCTGTGCTATTACCACGAGAGTTCCTCTGCGATCCGCCGTCGGTCGCTCGGCGTCTCGCCAAGGCTCCCGTCGTCGGCGTGTCCTTTTCGCAAAAACTGTCCTAATTATATATAAAGACAATAAAACACCGCGAGAGGGTCTCTCTCTCCCAGGCCGTCTGTTCCCACCCGTGATCACGCACGCAGGACTTCATGGACGATTTTATGGCTGTTGGTCGTAAATTCCGGTCGGTAGTCCGGGGAGAGTGATCCTCGCTCTCGTCGATTATAAAATAACTGGGAATCACGCGCGGCATCGGTTGGTCGCCATCTTGGCTTGCGCCCGAAGCCGAAACGATCGTAAAATCATATCTAAACGCGATAAAAATGCGCGCCAGTCAGCAAATGACACAGGTCGAACGGAGAATCGTTATGTTTCTAATTTCTGTCGATCGAAGTGCCACAAATTCGCGTTTTGTTAAAGTCGTAATGACGGCGACAATGCGATAATTAACTCCGCAATTTACACGTATATCTATACTCAAGATATCCATCATGTTGAGATTTACAGAGCGTACACTGTAATTCTCGCACGATTTTCATCGTACTGTAACTTCACTATCATTCGTTATCTATTCGAACGAATGAAGAAATGAAGATTACAACTAGACAAAATGAATGCCTTTTGAGATCATGAGGGTCTTTGTTATCAGGAATTCGCACACTGAATCTTTGAGCAATTATAGACATCTGCGTAGCGCGCGAGATTTCGAATCAAAGATTACCGCTCGTCGATGCCGAATGCTCCAGTTAACGAGCCGAATAATCGTGTGGACAAAATAAAATAACATCTGCGATTCTTGCAGGCTCGAGCAAATGTTTGCACGAAGGAACGCCCCATTATACCCGTTGCTCGGTAAATAATACAACTCCGCCGATTAACTCGTTTGCTGTAGCGTAGAATAAAGAGAAAGCTAAGAATAGAGAGAGAGAGAGAGAGAGAGAGAGAAAGAGAGAGATAAATGGAAAAGAAAAGAGTGGAAGAGTCTGGCGGCACAAGTACAAAAAATGAATGCCAAACTGAAGAGTCTAGGGGTAACTCTAGAGAAGAGAAAGGGTGCGAGGGACGATAACAAGAAGATCGTTCACGATCGATACAAGATTGCGGAACATACATTGGCTTGACTCACCGAGCGCTCCAGCGGTCAGTCTCATCGTGACGGGAAGCTCGGAGCCGGTGATTTCCGACAACTTCCGCTTCCGTGGCCGGCCTTTCTGCACCGCGCCGGAAGTGATCGGGCTCTGCTCGTAGTAAGCCGGAAGCGGCGACACCCCCGGCGAACCGAGGTCTTCGATACTGCCGGCAGCACCCCCGTAATCGCCAGCGCAGCACAGCAACTCGTAGTGTGGTCTTGGGAGCGACGTGCTCGTCAGTCGTCAACCTCTCTGTCAAGTAGTCGATAGACGACCTGACCTCCGCGTTATACGTTCGAGTTCGATGAACGAGTTCGACTTCGTGATACCACGCGAGGGCGGGATTTAACGAGCGGATCATTATTAGTCAGGGATTAAATCGGCGAGTTGTTAAGAAGCATCTGGTTTCCTTACTGCGGTAGAATCTCTCGGTCTTTGGAATCGCGAGAAACTTTGGAAGATAGTTACAAAATTTTACAGTGTAAATCTTTTGGAGAATATTTGAAATCTTACTCTTATACAGACTGAAAATTCAGCTATTTTTGAAAAGAGAGTGAAAAAGTGAAAATCTTTCCATTTTCTTGAATAAAAGTAGCAAATTTTCAATTCAGGAGTAAGATATTTCACTCTTCTGGAGTGAAAATCACTCTAAGGATTTTAAATAAAATCTTATTCCAAAAAACGATTTTATTCATTAGGAGCGACTCTCACCCCAAAAGAGTGAAATCTTACTCCAAAAGATTGCCACTCGTGTTTAAGAGTAAAAAGTTTTTATTTTTTTTTCGAAGATTGGCTCAATTTTTACTCCAAAAGATTTAGAGAGTATACAATCTTATTTCGTAAACGTTTGAAGAAATCACGGAATTTCTCTTAAAAATCTTGATATTTATAAATTGTCATTCTTACGCCTCGCGGTGTCTGTCGTCGCGGTCGTCTTCCCGGAACCCGAGACCAAAATCCGTCCGTTCCAATGACCATCATTAGCACTCAACAACCGTCATTAGCGTGAAGGGGAGAATGACTCGGTGCGACAAAGCGACTCGTGCTCCTGTCAACCTCGTCATCGAACTCGTTGATAACAAGGAAAGACGGTCTTTGAAGGATAGTAATGATCAGACACTCCTGTTTCTCACCTACAATACACCAATCCGTCCCGCTGGCCGAAATGATCGCCTTTGTTTAACGGGGTGCCACACGAGGCGCAAGTGAAGCACGCCACATGATACACCAGATCGCGCGCTCGCATCACCAGTTCCGAGGCGGAAATGCCGGCGCGACATCGGGAGCATCGAGACACCGCAAATAATCTGCAATCGCAATAATTAAAGAGTTATCTTTCGATGTATAACTTTTTTAAATTGCAAGATATTAAAGCTTCTTTAATACTCGTATTTCTAGTTATTGGATTATCTTACAAGAAACATATCGCAACTGGAACAACTTAATTCTTCTCGAGAAATATTTTGCCAATTACAAAAATTTAAGAAACACGTATATTTTTATATACATATATTTTTTTTATTTAAATGTTGAAACAGTCAAAGATAATGTTTATATCTAATTCTAAGCAATTATTGCCAAAAGATAAAATATGAGAAAATATCTTGTAGACAGAATCTTTTATGATTTATAATTGTGCATCTAAGAATCCTAATATTTAAAAAGAAATACTCTTGGTCATTATTTTTATATATTCCTATTATTATTTTTGTAAAATTCTGTTCCTTTAAAAATTAAAGACTAAAGAAAAAATTTGGCTGTACATTATAAAATTAGTTTCAAATTATACATCTCTTTAAGGATTTTAAGTTGCAAAATATTAAATTTTTAGAAAAGATATGCAATTATAACGTACATATACATGTACATATAGAAAACTACAAAATTATTTAATATAGCTTTTGATATACAATATCATTTTGACGATAATTGCTTAAAATCTAATATAAACATTAATTTTGTTGTTTCAATCCTTTGAACTTCAAAGATTATTTTATAATAAATCAAATAATTTTAGTATTTAAGAATGTCCACAATTTGATGAACTTACAGATTTCAAAATTTTTACTCACACGCTTTTAAATTTGTTTATAATTTATTTCACCTTCCGGTATTAAATAAAATTGGTACTAAATAAATGACAATTTGGAATGTTACAAAAATTTCGAAGCGTTTGTTTAACTTGGATTTTTTAACGAATTGCATGCACTTCTAATTTCACTAATTTTGCCTGAAAATTAGAGAAAACTGGATACACTTGAGAATCTAACGGTACATTATATTTTCACATGTGTGGGTTCACGAATGCATTGCGAATCCCCGCTTGAGGTGAATTTCGCAGGGAATCGAACCAGACCGTTCATATTCGCGTAGACGAAAACAAAGGGCTGGCGTTGTTGCATATTGCATGCGGGAGGACGGCTGTTGAATTCCTCCCCTGCTCGCTCTAACGAACTCGCCTTTCGACCTTTTATTCCACCCTCGCATCCTGAAATGTCGAATGTCATCGCGTAAACGTGCTATTTCCCGTGATAAACAATATCGAATTCTTTGCTTACTATTATGCGAATCACTTTCCAATTTTTAGCCTCTCTGAAATTTCGACGCTACGAATGTTAAATCTCTTAAACGTCAAATCTAAAGGATATAGACATACTACATTTTTCTATAATAATAACTTAATAATCAATATTCTTCAGAATGTCTTTAATTTATTTTTGAAATTGGCTTTCTTCTCGTTTTTCTTATGATTCTCCACATTCTTTGTCGGCGAGTATATCGCCGAGCCAAGCATGGAATTTAAGGTCCAATTCCTGAATAACGACTAGAGCTGTGTATTTGGAAACGGGGACATTTTGTGTGGTCTAAGGAAAAAGGCGTTTTGATAAAAGAGCAAGAAAAACTCTGCTTCTTATATGTAAATTCTGTGCTATCTCAAATAAATATCGAAATAAGGGAGTACATGTTAATGAATCAGTTTCAAACGTGTCATTCACGTAATGTCGTCGTAATACGTCGTGACATCAGATACATTTTCTTCAATGAAACCACAACAAATGTGATCGAAGGACGCGTAACTGTAGGTTCCGGTTATAAATAATAAATGTACATATACGTTTTGTCTTTTCTGCGATTTTCTTCAAAAAACGAAGCAAAAACGAGCATATCTTTACAAGACCTTTTTTCTTTGTTTATCAATTGTTTTGACATTTAAATTCCGGATACCCTGTATATGTATATTTATATTTACAGAATATACTTTTTTCAATTATTGTCTTCCTTTTTTCTTAAAAAGATGACGATTTTCCTTTATACAGTTTATACCATTACTCATGCTTCAACTAACCTGAAATAATCCTCTTTGCAGTAAATGTTACCGTCCCTGGCAAAGCAAGTGGCCTCAGCGGCCAGGGGGACTCGGCAGTGACAGCAGCGCAGACAGCCACAATGCCATGCGCGATCGGATACCATTAGATACCAACGTTCAGCGATGTCTCTTCCGCAGCCGTCGCAACCGAGGGCACCCTCGACGATACCGCCGCCCCCGCCGCCACCACCGCCCCCTTCGTTCGCGCCGATCTGCCGACTATTCGCCCCGCCGCCTCCGTCCCCCGACGGGGGTGTAGTGCTGCCGCAGCCGACTTCCTTCAGCATCTCGCTTCACGCGCGCCGTTACGACGCATGCCGTTGCATTCTGCAAGTTATCGCAACGTCTTCGTAACGTCTACGAGCATTATTTGGACGAAGCGTGCCAAAGGCACTGCACGAAGAAGATCAATTAATTACGATCAATTATTGTGTTTAACCAAATAGAACAAAAAGTTATGATGATAAAATGACTCCAAAATAATTATCAAAAGTCATTTTTCAATTTATTTTTGTGACCTGTTGTTTTGACGGGGTAGTACATTTTCCGGAAGTAAAGAATCTCGAGACAAACTTCTTCGAATGAACCCGTGAAAATACGACAGAAGTTATATCCATTTGTACTGTATATTGTAAATATAACAATTTCATGGATGACTTACAGCCGTGGACCTTGACACTGGACTGAGTATATATAACTTACAGTCCTTTACATGTTATTTCTTCGATTATCAAAGCTACCACAAGATACGCGTAAAGCGATATGTGCAATGAGATTTTAAAGCGTAAGCTTTAAATTCAAAACCATAAAAATTCATCAATCACAATCAAAGGTGAAGAGAATAATCGATTATAGCTCATTTTCGCAATAGTTACCTAAAGATTAAAGATTATCAAGAGATTCATTAATCAAATTCATTTATAAATTTCTTGGAAACTTTTAAACTTTATCCATGTATATTGTGACAACGAGCTTACGCTTGACAAATTTCTTACGACTTAAGACTTAACTTTAAGTCTTACTTGAAATCTCATTGAAAAAAGGCGTTGCTTATATTTAAATTATCATAACTTCTATTCTATACGTACTCAGAGAAAAAGACTGCGGTACCAACTATGAAGATGACAACTATACAAATTTTATATTATCTAGGATTATTGTATGAACTATAAAATAGTTTATTTAACTATGTACATTAACTCTACATAATATAAAATTTTTATAGTTGTTCTTTATCTCTTTATAATTATCTAGTTATTGTTTAGTAGTTTGACAAAATTAATCTATAAAGAGCAGAATTGCAATTTGGCAAATAAAGTATTAATTAATTTGTAAAGAATAGAATTGCAAAAGAAAAAAGTCTCTTCCTACCATCGTGAGAGTAGAGATTTGAGAATCGACGATCACAGGATCTTTAAGAGTCGCTTCGTGCGATGCAGGTGTGTTCATTCAAGCTACCCAGGTGACACAAATAGAAACAGATGAATGAAAACAATTCGTGGTTGACGGTAATGAGCCCCTTTAACCAACGACTCTCGCCTTCAAACTGCGATTTACGTGAACGCGAGATGATATCTTTCGCTTACGAAGTTACCGATGGGTCATCCCTTCAACGTTAGATCATTAACCAATCTTGAAGAAAATACATTTCTATCTCCAAATACTCTTGTACGAACAGAAACAAATTATATTAAAAGACAATTGATTAAAAAATTGATGAGATTTAGACGAAATATAATACATTTAGATTGAAGCAAATCTAAAAATAAAAAACCTAAATTTTTTACTTTTTTTTTTTAAGTAAAAAATTGAATTAAAAAACTGCTTTTTTTAAGCCTAAAAAATATATAAAATTTATTTTTTTTAATATTCATCGTATTATCATTAAAACGTTTAATATCTCTATAATACATTCTTTTAGTATTTAATATCTTTATTATTTAATATAATAATATCTTTTGTCTTTATAACTTTTTTAAATATCGATGCGGAAACGTCTTTGCGAAGGTTATAGTCTAATGATAGTTAATAACACCTTTTCAAAAGATCTAAATCCATCCATATACATCTTGCATGCTAAGTAAAAAACTTTCAGAATCGGAGTGAAAACCCGATTTTTACTAGGTTTTCTGGCTTTTCTATAATTTTAATTTCTAAACATCTACACAGACACACACACGTAACACACTATTTCATCATTTCCATTTAAGTAACGTCGAGTACCGGACGCATCGTCTCAAGCATTGCCCCCTGCACATAACGCAATGTAACGTCGATCGCAACGATACAACTCTTCGATGTTAATTAATTCATCCTCGAAAACAGCATTGTTTGAGGTGAAAAGCGAAGTGCTCACCATCCCCGCGGATTTGCATTGCGGTGGTATTATGTCTGCAATAGCACGTGGATTCGATATTATCGCGCACCATATTTCCATAAAATCGATTCACTTGATCCCTCGATAACGAAACCTTTGCAGCGAGAGATACATGCGTAGTTACATCAGCGGAACTGCATTTGTATCAGAATATCTAGTGCAGATTGCAGTGACTGAAAAATCGTGTCTACTTGAAAATTATATTATCGTATGTAATGTTTTCATTTAAAATTAAAATTCTCGCAACAATTTATCTCATTCATTAAATTTATTAAATTTATTATCTATTAAAATGTTGGAAGTCATCGATAATTATTTTGTTTTAATAATTATTGAATATTTATATGTACAAGAGATGTTTCTAAAGTTCTGGGAATTGTACTCTTATTTTAGTCATTTTATTTTATCAATGAAATTACATTACTGAACACACACGCTTATCTCAACGCAAAATCATGTTTTTTAAACCGTTTTCGAAAAACTTAAGTTTTGATGAGTACCTTTTATCCATCTATTTATAATGCTATTCCTAAAACTTTGAAAGTGTCGCTCATATAAATTGTTACAGATACTAACATAAGTAAAGATAATTTTTCAAAATCTTCAAAATACACTCTGTAACTTCTTTGGAGTGGAATTTCTTTCTAAAAAATAAACATTGAGTCAATTTACAAGAAGAGTGGCTTAATTTTAAATGTTTAAGAATAAAACTTCACCTTTTAAAATCAAGTGACAATTTACTCTAAAAGTGTATTTTTGTATATCATAAAATGAAGTAAAATCTGAAACGATTGAAATTATTGTTCGAAGTAATAACGGTATTACAGCTACAAGTATTATAGTTGTAGTTTATTGCAAGTTGTTCAAATTTTGTGATGCTATTCTTACCAACAATCTGCATTATTTTCACGTATATTTGTATATTTGATATTTCTGATGTAGGTTTCTAAAAATCTATTGTCAAACAACATACTTTGCATCCCAACATTCCAAGCATAAAAATAAAAAGACTTAATTTTCTTATTTTTAACGAAGTAAGATACATGGATCGATATGTCTTGACTAGTAAGTTCTTCTTCTACTATCCGCTCACCTGTAATCAGTTAAACAGCCGGAACGCGACGGTAAATCCTACTGTCGGTCGGTCGTCCCTTACTGCTCTCCGTTCGCCGGCAACGAAGCACCCGCGGCCAAAATTATTCCCGCTTGGTTATTTTCATCTAAATCGCGGTCATCTTGGACCTGCTAACTTCTCCAGGGTTCGGTTCGGTCGCGGAGCGGCTCCAACCCCGGATATTCCGGTACTCCGACTATCTCGACTGCCTCGAACCGACCATGCAGTCGTTGCGATCATCAATCATGTTCTGGACAAGCGAAAAGCCGCGTAGACGGAGAAGATAATTTCTCTGCGTGACATCGGTTCTACGATAATAGAATCTCCGTCATGAGAGACGCAAAATTGTATCTGCTGTAAAGTATCGCTTGCGTATAAATTATTTTAAAAACCGCGGCCAGATCTTTCGAGAAACTTTAACACTCTGATCTAAATCTATTCACTTATTCGCACATAAAAGTTGACGCTAATTTACCTCATAAAAGCTCTTTATCTAAGATTCTCGTGATCTGATTCGTAATCTTAAAATTAAACAATGTTGAACACAATTAATTCTAGAATGTTAAATCTGAATGGAATGTGTATTAAATTATAATTTAAACAGAATTTTAAATCTTATCTAGAATCTTAATAGGAAGGAAAGCAGTATTTCGAGTGCTGAATGTTTTTGACGAGGTAGACTTTGATTGCGGTTAGGCAAAAGAGTGACTACAGTGATCACAGATCGTTCAAAATAAAATGCTAATTAATCCTTTCTTAGAAAAAGGCACCGATTGAGTCACAATTGCGGTTAGCAAAGTTCCTCAAATCAACTTCCATTGCAAATTCGTACTAACAAATTTAATCTGATGATACGTTAATCAACATTTTTTCTTCAAGCTCTAGATTTTCCCTTATATAATTATAGATATTTACAGTCAATTTCTTTGAAATATTCCATAAAGAAAAATTATATTTTTCTTACTCGGTTCTATGGATCTAAATCTATAATTCTATATGGAATTTTTGTATCCTTTAAATCAAATCATTGAAACTAAACAGCCTTAGATTCTTGAACTTATTTGAGCCTTGAATCATTAGAATATTAGATGAATGAGATCCGAGATTCTCAAACAACAAGATGTCATATAATCAGTTAGATATCAGTCTTCTCAGATTAAAGAATATTCTCTATTAATCATAATTGTTTAGTCTTTCAAATCATATATATATCTTAGATTTTTTATCAAAGATCGCTTTTATCTTCGAATCCCGACTTTCTCGCAAGGATAAACATATGAAGTTTCAACTGTCATTCATTAGCAATTTGTCGAATAATTGTGCCACTTGATATTTTAATTATTTAATATTTATACTCACCAATTCATCCTTTTCTCAAGACACAACATCCTCATTAGATTTCTCAATTTTTTTTGACTCACGTCGATCCTTTCCTTTCTCGAATCCCGAGATAGAAAACATTAGCACATCACAATATTAATCCACCTTGTATTTGCTTTGTTTAGAGCACTTTTCTTACACTTGTCTAAAGATGAGACCGTCGCCAAAAAACTTGCAACAAAGAAGCGGCTTGTGAACAGGATTCTCCGAAATTTGCGAGCGCGGAAGCTTGCGCGAGGAGAGCTGTGTCGGCAAAGAAATTTTCATGCGAGATTCACGAACGCGAGAGAGCTATGCGACGAAATAAAAATTTGGCGAGAGAAAGGGACATTTCCACGAGCGCGCGTGGAACTCGCGCGCAGAAAACCTGCGAGCAGGAAACTGGCGCGAGCCGGAAATCCGCGGTGCGCGAAAACTCGCGAAAGCGTCACCGGAGTGCGAGAAGG